TTGGCCTCGCGTAGCCCCTGCCTTGACAGCGAGGCTGAAAGGAGCAAGCACGGGGCAAGGCTCTCGATGAGGAGCTCGGCCCKCCCGGCGCGGCCGTGCCAGGGCTGCCCATCCCGCACACGGCCAGTGCCRCCTGCCCGGGCATCGCAGCCCCTTCCCACCACAGCAGTTTCTCCAGGACCACATTTGCCTTTTTTTTGAAGCCAGGTTGCACAAGCAGCTCCCAACAAACCCACGTCTCTCTCCGCTCCCATTTTTCCAGCTAATGAACTCCCGGCTGGTAATAGTTTCTTGTTGCTATTCTGAAATGTTTACACCTCTGCTTTTCCCCCCTTGGGCTAATAAACACTAAGTGGTTTCCAATTATTGTGCTCGTACATGGGACTCACTTTTTCATTATCATTTTAAAGGGTTYCCGGCCCTCCTAACACCCTAACGCTGCCTCCAGCCCCGGCTGGCTCCGCTCGCCTGCGGCACAGGGCACAGATACCTGGTTTGCCAGTGGGAACGTCGAGGAAAAAACCCGGGAAGCTGCTGCCAGCAGAGCAGAGCCTTGTCCGTGGAGCATGGATCTGCTCCAGAGGCTTCCCGATCCCGGCTGCCTAACCCAGCAGCCTCTCCTTGCAACAGGAGGCTTCACGCTCCCTTTCCACCCCTTCCCTGACCTGCTCGTGGTGCTTGCAACTACCTTCCTGGGACACTCTGTGTCTGATGCTGTATTGTAATTTAGGTGAATTCAATGTACTGCAGATCAGAAAATCAGCTACTGCCGGTTTCCTCCCACTCAGATACAGGCAGCAGGATTTGGGTATAAAACTGTTTTTTTTTTTTTTTTTAGTTAGCTTTGTCATAAATCCTCATTCTCGGATTTGCAATTCCATGTGGCAGCTCTTCCAGGCGCCAGAGTTTATCTGATTTTCCTGACTTGAACCTCTCAGGCTTTTCACTTTTGCTTGATCTCCAGCCCTTAATTTCCATTTCCAAGTTGATCGTCATCCTTGCCGTTGAGTAGGGAGGCAGAGCGTTGGCTTCGGGCAGACACTCTGCCCCCCTCGCTGCCACCCGCTTGAGGGGTCACACACGAGCCAGAAGATTTTGTTTCATTGGAGCTTGAACAAGGGAGCAGTGAGAGGCGCAGCCGCCTCCTCCTTGTGCTGACGGCCCTTCCTGTGAGAGGGGACGAAGTGACAAAGGGGGCACAGGGTCATGGCCCTCGGYGGGGCTCGGGGCTGGTCACGCCAGGGGCCGCGGGCAGCCTGCAGGGTCTCATCTCCGACCRCTTCRTTTGCCCAGTGCAGCCCTGGCCTCGTCCCGACGGCTCCGCTCCGAGGCCCCTCTTGGGCATTTCTGGCTGCTCTCTGGGATCCTCTCACCCTTAGCGAGGGAGGCAGAACCGTGGAGGCAGCGGCCTCGGCCTCTGACTCTCTGCGAGGAGCAGGATGGGCAGAGGCTGTGGAGAAACCTCCACCAAGCAGCACAGGGCCGGGATCAACCGGGATCCGGGGTCATCTGGGTTCAGGTAGATTCCCACTTTGGGTTTTGCCCATGGCTCTGCCTCCGCGTCCCCGCGCAGCAGCTCAGAGCGCTCCCTGCCCACACGGTAACACGAATCCGGCCAAAGCGGGGCAYGGAGACCCGGAGCAGCCTCCTCCCACGTGCCTCGGTCTACAGGACACAGCACCTGTGCAGGACCCAAGTTGCCTGCCCRAAGCGGCTCCTCCAAACCGTTCCTTTCCCCTTCCAAAATGAAATGACGATATCCAAGCCACGTCTCTGTGGCAATATAACCAGTTAGGCTGGGGGAGATGGATAGGATGGTGCTTAAGCCAGCAGCGTTGTGGGAAGAACTACTGCCAATTTTTGGTCTCAAGCTCCAYGTGTGGCTTTAGGGCAATCATTTAACCTTGCCACATGCCATTTTGCTCGCCTGCAGATGGGAAGTGATAGCAAACACTCGCTTTTCAGGAATGAGGGAGGCAAAATGAATCAGTATTTGCAAACTACTTATCAATCTCTCCTGAGAAGGGGTAGGAGAGACGGATGGGCAGCTACTATACAGAGACAGGCAGCTCTTAGTGCAGGCTCCGCTCTCCAGAGTGCAGCGAGGACCCAGCGAACACCAAATGAGCGACAAAACACACATCTGCAAGGCGGCATTTGGTGCAAGGAGCTGGGAAGCGGTTCCAAGAGCTCCGTGAGCGGAGGCAGCTCTGAGCTGCTCTGCGCCCCCGGGCTGCTGCGTCTCTTCCCATTGCCCAACACAGGGGCTCCAGCTGGTGCASATGCAGGAAATGCAACTCCCTGCTGCAAAGCAAGCGCCTTCCAGGGCTAAACCCCCATCAAACTCAGAGTCGTTCCCCAGTCACCAAATTTGCCCAGCAGCGGCTTTGAGAGGTCACTATCTTCCTTCCTAATGGGAAKTTTGCAGACAGGATGGCTTAAGGATAAAGGCAATATAAAATCTGTGCAAGGAAGTAACTTCCCTCCTCTTTATTTAAGGGCCCAACCCCATTTCCATGCCTTCGTCTACCCCATTTAGTGGTCAGGACGGCAGCTCCCTGCTTCAGAGTCAATTACTTGAGCTCTATTTTAAATTTAGGCATTTTCAAGGGGTTCATGCCTCAGTCTTCCTTGCTTTAGGCAGAGTGGTTGGGTCCCCTCTTCAGCTACATCCCTGYGTCCCTTGATAGCTCATCCCCACTGTGGTAGATCAGAACTAGTTGCTCACATCCCCTGCGTGAAGTGCAGCTTGTTCTGTGCTAATAACCCTGCACAGATAAGCCCTAAGTTTTGCTCAAAACGTAAGAGAAAAAAATGGAACTTCAAGAAAAACACCTGATAATTGGGCTCACGTGATAGAAAGTCCACATGGAAATTGCTGCAGGCAGGGCTCTTGCCTGGTATTTTTAAGGCAAAAAGAGAAACCAAAGAGAAGCAGCACTTGAGCTGATGCCAAGGCTCATTTCTGGAGCTCGGAAGGGAGCTGCAGGAAGAACCAGGCAGCAGAAACCAAGGCAGAATTACTCACACGTGAGGCGCCCCGGGCTGCAGAGGGAGCAGAAGGCAGAAGCAGGCGGGTTTTCCACACGTGAACAGACACCCCTGGGTGCCCCGAGCCGTGGCGCGGGGACGAACGGGCCCGAGCGCGGGCGGAAGAGCGCGGGGACGGGGCAGCGCTGCCAGGGGCGCGAGCGGCGGCGCCCGGCGAGCGCGGCGGCCCCGCGGCCGCC